ACTTCCTACATTTTATGCATCATTTACTCAAATTTAAACAAAACCCATGTAACTTCCTTTGGAACATATTCACTCTGTTAAAGAGAGCTGAGTTTAAGATGATTATATTACAAGGAGAATAATGAATGGTATGATGTGTATACTGAATGTAGAAAATAACTCTTCTTACAGAAAATTAAGCTATCTTTATGTATTCCTCAAATCACCTATTCATGAAATATTCCAAGTAAACACATCATTGGTACATCTCACTAAATTTCAGTTACTTAAATTTAGTAGGATGAGTAGCTGTAATCTCACAAAACAAACGTTCATTGATCATTTCCTGTGCTTAGTGCCTTGTATTGTAAATTGCAAATAAGACAATGCTTTACACAATTTGAGCCATACCATGTCATTCTAATCTTGCTGAAGATACAAAGATCATAGATAAAATGTACATGTTTATGAATAGATCTGTGTATAGATGACTATAACTTTCATAAATAATATGATAAATATAAATTTATAAGAAATTATGAGTTATGCACCTAAATTGTCAAATTGTTGAGATTTTCAGGTGGATTAACATAAAATATACATTCAAATAATATATCTGAATGAAATGAAATGGGAGTACAAGTAGGAAAAATAAGGATATGTTTGCTTATGACTTGGGGTTTTATAGAAATATTCTTCTACAGCATTGCATTTAAGATATTTCTTTAAGAACGAGTAGGACTTTAACAGAGGTAGGATGGAGGGAACTATAGAATGAAGAATAATTCACTCAATATTTATTTGTTGAACACCTACTATGTGCAACACCAAGTTAAGCATGGTACTGGAACAGAGAAAAAGACAGGCATAACTGCTGATCTCCTGGTGCTCACCCTTCAATGTACAGTGTTTAAACTGAAGAGGAGAGATAAATTGTGAAAGGAGATATGATAACTGTCTCTTTTATGTATTAAAGATTAATAAGATGATAGCATGTGACCAGACCTATTTTGTAAGCAACTTTATGACATAAGTAGATTCATAAAGTCAAGATGACAAAAAAGTGGTTACATTCAATTTAATGAAAAGCATGCCAACAATTCATCAAGTTTAACTTAAATGATTGTCTCAAAATTTCTATGTTTCTTAGACACAAAAGTGTAAAAGACAAGAGCATATTCACCAATTAATAAAATTTATACAAATCCTCCCTTATTTCCCTTGAAAATGTACAAGCAGCATTTCTAAATCATCTCCTGTGTGACAGTAAGTGTCATGATATTTTAGTAGAGGTTCTGTAAAAAATAGTTTCATTACCTAATAGTAAAAAAGGCTGTTCGTCAGCAGAACTTTCCTAAGACTTCTGCATGCTAGTACACATCTGATATGGCCTGTATATTTATGTCATCCAAAATTCATATGTTGAAATCCTTACTTTCAAAATTGGAACAACTGAAATTTAGTGAGATATACCAACAATGTGCTTACTTGGAATATTTCACGAATAGGTGATTTGAGGAATATGTAAAGATAGCTTAATCTTCTGTAAGAAGAATTGTTTTTCACATTTAGTATAGATATCATACCATTCATTATTCTCCTTATAATATAATCATGTTAAACTCAGTTGAAATTCTTACTTTCTAGGCAATGGTGTTAGGGGGTGGGGGGGGCCTTTACGTGATTGGATCATGGAGGTGGTCCTCATGAATGGTATTAGTGCCCTTATAAATGAGGTAAGAGACAATCTCTTTCTTTTCTACTGTACAAGGACACAGTAAGAGAGGCAGACCCTCACCAGACACCTAATATTGTGGCATCTTGATCTATGACTTCCTGATCTTTAGATCTATGAGAAATAAATTTCTTCTATTATAAGCTACCCAGTCTAATATATTTTCCTAAAGCCAGCCCAAATGGATTAAGACAAATTCATATTTTTT